AGTGAACTCGGCGGACTGTCAAACGAGGTTTGAAACAGCATGATGAGAAGGAGCGATCTCGGGAGACAGCGCAACGAGGCTTGAACCAAAATGAAGAGGAGGACGGAGATGAGGAGGCGAGGGTGGGAAAATACCGCGCCATGGCTTCGTGCCACGCCAGTGGAACCTACGAGCCAACACAAATCGACAACAAAACGGTGTCCAATCAAATTGGTTCCGGTCATTGCACGCTAACCCCGCCAGCTCGGCGAGCACCTCCTGGGGCCGAGACGGCCCAGACGGGACGGCGCCCACAACCCAAACATGGAAACAACAAACGAAAATAAACCAACGCAGACACGGAAAACAAATACACTGGTAAATAGCAACTGAAGCCAACAAATAGAACACACAAATGGAACACAAAATTGTGTCCAATCGAATTGTTTTCTGTCGATGCTTTGTTATCCGTGTCTGCGTTGGTGAATTTTCTGTTTGTTGTTTCCGTGTCGAGGTTGTGGTGTTCGTTTCTGTTATCGCTTTCCGTTTCTCGCCTGTCATTTTAATTGTTTTTTCTCGTGGACGCCCATATCGCCCGGGCCGTCTCAGCCTTGGGCAATTTGCGCCGAGTTGGACGGTTAGCGTGCCAGGCGCGGGCGCGCTCACCCCGCCAACTCGGCGAACACCTCCCGGGGCTGAGACGGCCCAGACGGGACGGCGCCCACGGACGCAAAAAAGGACAACCCAAACACGAATGTAAATAACGGAAAACAAACCAAGCCAAACACGGGGAAACAAACATACAAAGGGGGGGAAACGAGTGGAACGCACAAATGGAAAACAGAACAGTGTCCCATCGGATTGGTTTCTGTCATTGTGTTTCCCATGTCACTGTTGGTTTGTTTCTGTTTTTTGGTTCCGTGTGAAGCTCTATTTGTTCTATAGTGTTCCGTATATCGCCTGGTTGTTCCGTGTTTTTCTCATGGACGCCGTCCCGCCTGGGCCATCACAGCCCCTTGCAATTTGCGCTCAGCTGGCGGTTTAGCGCGCCAGGCGCGGGCACGCTAACCCCGCCATCTCGGCGAACACCTCCTGTGGCTGAGACGGCCCAGACGGGACGGCGCCCGCAGCTCATACACGGAACCAACAAACGTTAAATAAACCAACCCGCCAACGGAAAGCAAACTGACAAGGGGAAAACACATGGAACGCACACAGAAACGAAAATACGGTAGCATTTCGGAAACCAGTCTGGTCACAAGACTTACACAACAGTGGTGCCAGTCGGCCCTAACTTGCGCCAACATGGTACAATCTGATACAAATAGCATACACATCTGAAACAGTAGGGTTCTTTCCACCTGCCCCCTATGGTCCTACCCTCCTGCCAGCCTCGGCTGTAGAGGCCATATTGCTCCTGAAGGGTCGCCTATGCGACCGGCACTAATACACCTCTCCGCCTTTCCCCTCCCCTGCTTTCTCTCAGACGCAGGGACCTTCTGCCAACCATTTGATGCGGTAAGCGCTCATCTGGTATCAGGCTACGTCCGTGCTCTTTTGCTCCTTCCCCCCATGGCTGCATCCTCCCAGCCCAGTGCCTCTTGCCTATCGCGCTTCTGCGCACTTTGCCACTCCCCGAGTTATTTTTGCAGGGGCATGCGAAGTGGCTTGAGCTGCAGTGACAGCTATGACATAGCAGCCTTGCTTCTCCCATGGCGTCGTTTCGCGTGGCCACCGTTCGCTTCGATGAAGCATATAGCCTCTTCGCCTCCTGGCACAAGGCCAGGGCCAGGCAATCTAGGTTGCCCACGACGGTCTGCGGTATGCCCGCCTGTCGCTGGAAGTGTGGTGGCTCTCTTAGGGAACCATCGCTACTTTTGCCTTACCATCCCCTCGAACTGTCTCGCGGCATTCGCTGGTCTGTTTCAGCTATTGTGTCGGATATTCAGGCGCGCTGGGCTTGTTGTTTACATGAGGGTTGTTGCTCACTCCCGCCTGCCACCCAAAAGAATACACGTTTTATTTCAGAGCAAGCACGCTCCCAATATATACTATTGGCTCAAGGCTGGCTACAATTTCAGGGGTACCGAGCGCGATGACGTGTGAAGCCCGACACGCTATTCCTGCAACACTCCCTCCTCCTCCTCGCCTGTGTCTCCTCCTTATTCCTCCTCCTCCTCCTTAACTCCCTCCCTCCTCGTCCTGCTCCTGCTGAGTCCCTCCTCCTGGTCCTCTGCATCCCACTGATACCTCCCCCTCCTCCACAACAATTGCCTTCTCAACGGCGATAGCGCCGCGGTGACGCGCGCCGGCTATCGCGGCGACGCGCGGCGGCTATCTACACGCTATCCCTTTGGGGCGATCCCCCATGACGAGGTTTCGCCTGGTGCCCGCCCGTTGCCACGCGTAGCTTCCACAATGTAGCTTATAAGAGTTGGCTGCAGCCAGAAATTGCACCTCATAGCTTGCACCGCACAGTTTATAAGGCATCGGTTACACCACATATATTGCACAGCATAGCTTACGGCACATAGCTTACACCGCATCGGTCGTATACAATCCTCCCCTGACTCCTCCTCATCATCCTCATATTCCTCCTTATCCTCCTTAAGTGTCGCCAACTCGACTGGGATAGCGTGGCGGCGACGCGCGTGGGCTGCACGCTATCCCTGTCAGACGATCCCCATGACGAGGTTTCGCCTGGTACATGCCTGTTGCAACGCAACTTCAACAGCACAGCTTACACCGCTTATCGTAGAAATCCCACCAGCCCTCTGGGCGAAGGTGGTCTAGGGCTCTTCCTCTTCCAACCTCCTTCTTCCACTTCGGGGAGGGGTTTTCCCCTCCTCCTACCCCCTACCCTGGAACTGGACTGGGCGTTCCGCGGGTTGTTGCAGCGTCCAAGATGTCCCAAGATGGCTCCAAGAGGGCCCAGGAGAGCCCAAGATGCCTCCAAGATGGGTCAAGATAGCCCAAGATGCCTCAAGATGGCTCCCAAGATGCTCCAAGAAACCCAAAGACCGCCCCAAGACGGCTCCAAGTGGCCAAAGAGCTCCCAAAGGAGGACCCGAAGAGGCCAACATCCCTCCAAAACCTAAAGGAAATCCATGTGTGTTGCTTTCTCGCCTTTTCGCTTCCGATGGCCATCCGAAGCCTCTTTGGTGATCGATGTCCTCCAAGATGGCTCCAAGATGCGCCCAGGAAGCCCAAAGAGGCCCCAAGATTGCCCCGAGAGTCCCCAAGAGGTCCCCAAGAGGCCCCGAAGAGGACCCCAAGCGGCCCCAAGAGGCCCCCCCGAGGCACCCAATACACCCAAGAGACCCCCCGGACCGCCAATAGACCCCCAAGACGCCCCAAGAGGCCTCCAACAAGCGCCCAAGAGATATCCCACGATGATTCCGAGAGGCATCCAAGAGGCCTCTGTTCCTTTGCTCGCCCTCCTCCTCCTCCTCCTCCTCACTCCTCCTCCTCCTCCTCCTCCTCCTCCTCCTCCTCCTCATCTTGTTCGTCATCCTTTTCCCTCCTCCCTCATCCATCCATCCATCCTCCTCCTTCTCCTCTTCATCCTCCTCCTCCTTCGAACGGTTCGGCTGTCCCCCTATTTGCTCCTACACTTCCCTGTTCACCTCAACTCGCCCGGGCGTCATTTCTGGATGGACTGGTGGGGATACGCGAAGCGTCAAGAACTTTATATTGCGCCAAATAGTGCGTACCGCCCAACTTACAACACATAAATTACGCTGCGTAGCTTGCGCCGCACCGCACAAATGGGACTTCATAGCTTACAACACATAGCTTACAACACATCGCTTGTATACACTCCTCCCATACTTATTCCTGCTCCTCCTCCTCCTCTTCTTCCTCTTCCTCCTCCAGCTCCTCCTCCCCCCCCACTGTCGCCAACGGGGGGGGATAGCGTGGCGGCGACGCGCATTGGCCCTTGCTCGCGCGCGCTTTCCAGATCGTGCACGCTATCCCTGTAAGGCGACCCCCCTGCGAGGGATTCTTCTGTGCACGCTATCCCTCTGACAGGGCTTCCTCCGTGCACGCTATCCCCATGGTGGGGGATAGCGTGCAATAAGCGGGCCGGCGGCGCCACTTTCCACGCTATCTTTCCGCCCCCAACCGTATGTGTGGCTACGTGTACACACATATATATATATATATATACATATATATATATATATATATATATATATATATCTGTATCTATAACATGAGGGCGTCGGGGTTTCCACACGTACAGGTGTGTGCTCGGAGGGGATATCAAACATGCGTCTGGCGCCTGTGTCTTTTACACTTGTTTTTCCAAAGGCCACCTATCATGAGGGCGTCGGATTTCCCCCGCGTCTTAAAACACACGTCGGCTCGGAGTCGCATGCCCCGTGGGTTGGCGAGAGGGGTCCCGCTCTCCCCAGGCTGCGGCTCGACCGCCGCGCCCGTGAGAGCCGTGGCTTGTTGCGGAACTCGTGACTCGCGGGCGTGTTGCCGTTTTGGGCGGCACCCTCTGTGGAGGCATAGAGCTTGGCACGCTCAGACTTGTGCATGTCTTCCTGGCGAACTCGTCGAGCAGCATCCTGCGTCCTCCTGCGAGAAGGGGTCGACAGCTGCACGGGGGATCCACGTCCGAGCGATGGCGAGAGAGGCACGGAGCAGGAGAGGGAGGAGGCGGAGGAGGGGCGAGGACGTTGCGGTGCTCCAGATTTCGTAATAAAAGGGAGGGGGGTCTCATTTCGGGGGGGGGGGGTCTCTTCCAGGCTATCTTGGAGGGCCTGGGGGGGTCTGGGGACGATGTTTTGGAGGGTTCTCCCACGGGGGGGGGGTCTGAAATGGCTTGTCTTGGAGGGTCCAGACCCCCTCCCTTTTATTACGAAATCTGGAGTACCTCCCCTCACCTGTCGCCGCGCACCGGGTTTTTTCTCGCCCGTGCGGGCGGGCCACGAGCGGCAGGTGCCGGCAGCGTCTTTCTACACAGCAGTCGCGCGGGGGGTGGGGAAGGGCCCAGGCGCAGCCTGCCCGACATGGGTGACGACGATCAGAAGAAGAAGAGGACCTTCAAGAAGCACCCCGCCGCCTGCTGTCCCTCAGAGGAAGGAAAGGTACGGTAGGTTTGTGTCGTGCCGACTGGCGACGACCCCGCCTCTGGCGTTCAATGTTGAACGCCGCCGGCGACCCAGGATCGGTCGATATTGAACGATCCGACCTTTCGGAAACGGCCGATCGTTCAAAGCTGAACGATCCCCGCGGTGGCAGAAACCAGCGATGTGGTCGGCACGACATGAGCCTGCCGTACCCATACCGCTACCCGTCCCCGATCTCCCCTGTTTTTCGGGCGACGAGAACTATGCACATGCACTGATCCTGGCAAGGCCCATCCTTGACCCAGGATCGGTGCATATGCCGTCCTGGCCAAGGTAGGAGGGCGTATGCACCGATCCTGGGCTCAGGATGGGCATGGCCAGAATCGGTGCATGTGCATAGTTCTCTTCCCTCTAGTTTTGGCCTCTTGGGAGGCCCTGGTCGCCATCGCTGGATTCGCCTCGAAATCCTGGTCAGAGCGCACCCCAGGAGAGGTTAGGGGAATACCGTTATCCGTACCTTGTGGTTTCCCCAGTCGCGCTTGCACATGCCGTCCGCGGCGCTTCCTTCCTCTCTCCTCCCCCCAACTTTCCCATGCTCCTGGGTCTTGCTTCTTGCTTGGGCTCTTCGGGCTTATCTGCCTCGTTCCTTGCTTTCGTCCCTCCTGCTCGGTCTTGTTCCACGGGCTCCCCAGCACTGCAGAGCAATACCAAGCAATTCCAAGCATCGCCAAGCCACGCCAAGCAGTGCGCCCCTGCAGCAGGAAGCCCTCCCCCACTCGGGGCCGCGCCGCGTTCCTTCTCGGCCCGCGGCGCTGGAGGCCCGGGGCCGTGAGGCCCACGGACGGGGCCCCCTTGAGAGGTCACGGAGGCCACCCCGCCTGGCGGGGCAGGAGCCCGGATCCAGCAGTGCAGCGCCGGCGCCGCCGCGGCGCCCGCGAGGAGTCCCGTAGAGCCGCGGGATCTCAGAGGTCCCCAATGTTCAGGGGCGGAGAAGAGGGGGGTGATGACTAGGGGGGGGGAGATCACGGCGTGGGCCATGATGTTTCTCCAGATGTCATGGCGCCTCTGCTTATTTCTTTGCGTCCCTGGCCCCCCCCGCTGGGCCGCGCACATGCCGCCGGTCATGATTTGCACCCCCTCCTTTTGGACACCCCCCTCTTGGCGGCTCCCGACAGCGTGTGTCGGGGGTGGATAGACCTCCTGCCCCGACGCGTCGATTCAGGAATGGGCCGTTTTCGGTTCACGAGAGGGCGTCGCGGCCGCTATTCTTGCGGGTCCAGGTCCGTCGGTTTCGGTTCTAGGCCGTTCTCATGAAGGGGAGGTTTACTAAAGGGAGGTTTGTCCACCGCCGAGTGTGCGGGTTCGATTTTGCCCCAGGGGCCTTGCATGCTGAGGTGGCCTCCCGCCAGTGCCGCCGATCCAGGGCGTTCCCGACGTTGTGGAAGACTCTAGCGACGAAGACGACGGCGACGACCAACGACGAATGTCGACGGAATATCGACGACGACCACGGACGAGGACCCACGACCCCACACAGTTTTGCAGGTCCAGCCAGGGCCAGACGCCGCTCGCAAGCCTCGAGCGCCGATACTTCTCGCTCCGGGCGGCCTGGGCCAGGGATCCTCCTCGCGCGCTGCCCCTGTGGGCCAGCGGGTCCGGCGGGCCTCGGGGGGAGCCGTCCACGGCTGGCCAAGCCACCCCAGCCCAACCCGAAGGTCCCAGATTAGGCTGGTTTCTGGTGTGGTTTTCTGGTTTTGCCTTTTATTGTGCCCCTGCAATGCTAGTGCCATGGTGCTGCTATGGTATATTGGCACGCTAGTGCCATACTATTGCCATGCCGATGCCATATGCTTGACGCTTCGAGTATCCCCACCAGCAGTTCGTCTTCGCGGCGTTTGCCTGACTCACACCGAGCGTATCCCCGCTTCGCGGTCCAGTTCGTCTTCGACGGCGCTTGCCTGGCTCACACCGAGCGTTCGACCTCTGCGCGTTTATGGTCGCGCCGCCGCGCCATTTTGGCTGCGTTTACTTGCTGGTCGCCACAAGGATTTCCACGCCACAGGGTGTGGGAGTATCGGACGCTACCGGGACTGGGCCTACCTGTTCTTTTCGCCCTTCTGAGCTGACGCCCTGCTGCGCCTGTCTTGCTTTTCCGCTTTCCGCCCTCCGCTGCCTAGTCGTGGCCCGGCTAGAGTTTGGACGCTTTTTGACCCGCTTCACGAGGCCGCTGACCGACAAAATCCCCACCAGCGTCCGTAGCATTTTGGCTCGTGCCGTCTGGGCGGGCTCAGGTTCGGCGCTCGGGCCCGGGCGATGGAGATTGCGGCGGCGCGGCCGCGCTGGCAGGCGCGCGCTGCTGTCCAGCGCCGCTTGGTCGCTGCTGCCGTGGGCGCGCCGCCTGGCTGCCCACCCGGGCTCCCCAACGCGCCTGGCGCTGCTGGCGCGACGGATGCCGGTGTCCCTGGATCTGGACTCCCCTGCGCTGCCTGCGCCGCCCGCGCGGCTGCCGCCGCCGGCGCGACGGACGCCGCTGCTTCGCGCCGCGCGTCTGGTGCCGCGCGCGCCTCCAACGCCGCCGGCGCCGCTCGGCCTGGGCGCCCCCCCCGCCGCCAGCGCTTCTGGCGCTGCTGGCGCGACGGACGCCGGTCCTCCCGGCGACGCGCCTGCCGCCGCCAGCGCCACCGGCGCCGCTTGCTCGAGCTTGTCTGCCGCTGCCCCCGCCGCCCGCGCCCCCCACGGCTCGCGTCGGTGCGACCCGCGCTCGCCGGCCCCCGCCCTGCGCCTGCGGCGATGCTCGCGCTGCCGACGCCCTCCGCATCTTCACGGTCGATGCCGCCGATGCGCCAGACGCGGCTGCTGCCGCCGCCGCCTGCGCGTGCGCCGCTGCGGTTGCGGTTGCCGCTCGGGCCTCATGGGTGGTCGCAAAGGACCTCGCCTTGGCCGCCGGACTCGCGGCCAAAGCGGTCGAGGGCGCGCTCTCTGGCGCCGCTGGGGTGGGGTCGCGCCGCATGGCATGCTGGGGAGGGAGGAGGTGGTCGTGGAGGCTGGGCGGGATCAGGAGCAGCAGCAGCAGCAGCAGCAGCAGCAGCAGCAGCAGCAACAACAGCAGCAGCAGCAGCAGCAGGAGCAGCGACAGCAGAAACACCACGTTGCCTCCCGCTCGTATGAGCAGCAGCGGGAGCAGCAGCAGCGGGAGCAGCGGGAGCAACAGCAGCAGCAGCAGCAGCAGCAGCAGCAGCAGCAGCAGCAGCAGCAGCAGCAGCAGCAGCAGCAGTCCCCTGGTGGATCTCAGTCAGCGCCTGTAGCCGTTAACGGCCGCCACCCTGGGGAAAGCACCGCTGCTCCCCGCCCCTGCCCCCGCCCCGGGGGCAGCGCCGCTGTCGAGGTAGGAAACGTGACCGAAAGCGCGCTCGCCCCTGGACACTGCCGCGCCGTGGCGGTCGGGATCGCTAGAGAGGGCGCGCCGACACCTGGTGGCCCCGCACACCAGACGGCCAAGCGGGTCGCCTCCTCAGCCCCTCCCCCCCCGCAGCAGCACCAGGCGCAGCGGCCACGGGAGCAACAGCAGCCGCAGTCCCCACGCGGACCCCACTCAGCGCCCGCTGCCGCCACCGCCCCACATTCGCGCGCGCAGGAGGGGGAGGGGCACGGGCAGGGCCGGGAGCAGGAATCTGGGCGGGAGCAGCAGCAGGAGGCTGGGCGGGCGCAGGAGCAGCAACAACTGCAGCAGGGGCAGCAACAGCAAGAACACCTATAGCAGCAGCCCCCCGCCCCTCATCCGCATGAGCGGCCACAGGACAATCATCGGCAGCAGCAGCAGGAACAGCATCAGCAGCAGCGAAACCCTGATGGACCTCACTCGGCGCCTGCAACCGTCAAGTGCAACCCTGGCCAGGACGCCGTCCCTGGCCAAGACGACAGCTGCTGCCCTGGTGCGGCTCTAGCCCCCGCGGCCCAGCGTGCGCTCGGACAGCCTTCGGCGGACGAACGGGACAGCGATGCCATCCTTCACCTGGTACTGGGAAGTCCCTTCGCACCGATTCGCCCTCCATCCCGTGCCAGAGATTCGATGCGAGTGGGCACTTCGCCAAGCCGCCGCGGGGCAACTCCGGCAACCCCGCAGAGCGAGCCAGAGCCATCGTCAGAACACGAGCAGGGGCAGGAACATACCATTACCCTCCTCGGGTACGCCCTGGCCCATGCTGTCTACCCTGGCGCCCCCCTCCCTGGCGAGGGTGCGAGCTCGATCGCCGCGGAGCGCCGGCAGCGCGACTGGGGCGTGCCCGCGGCGCGTCGGGCTGGAAGTGGGTGGACGCCCAGCCTTGCCCCGGCGGCTGTCGACCCTCCCGCCCCCCCGCCGCCCCCAGGACGGAGTCTGGTCCATGGCGACGCCGACAGCGTCGACAGGTCTGACGAGCGACAAACAGGCGGCGCTCACATTTGCAGCGGCAGCAGCAGCAGCAGCCTTGCCCGAGACCGACAGACGCCCCCGCCTGGGGAGGCGGGTATCGCCGATCGCCAGCAGCCAGAACCACGGAACCCCGACGCTGGAAGGCCCCTCTATAAAGCCAGGGCCCAGGACTTCCAGTGGGAACCCCGCGGGGAGTCCCCAGACGAGACGACCAGGCGGCTTCAGGTCACCCTTGGGGCGGCGTTCACAGTCGCATGGCATGCTTTCGCCGAGCGGCACGCAGTTCCTGGCACCACATGCGCGTCCGACCCGCGTCGGCACGATCAGCGGACCTGCGGCAACTTCCTGGTTTCACTTCGCAGCCACAGTTGCGATGCACGTGCCATGAGCGACGCGCTGGGCCTTGGAGCCGGCTGGGCGCAGCTGCGCGAACAGCACCTGGGCCACAGATCGCGATTCCGACCGCCTCCGCGACAACGACCACGACGACTCTGTCACACCAGTACTGGTGACCGTTAGCCACGCCCCTGGAGACGTCGACGACGACGGAACGACACGACTCGAAATCGGCGGCTATTGTACACCAGTGCTTGTGGCCGTTGGCCACCCCCCTTAGAGGCGTCGACGACGACGAGACGACACGACTCGACATCGGCGACTCTTTTACACCAGTGCTTGTGGACAGTACATCGGCGGCTCTATTACACCAGCGCTCGCGGCCGTTAGCCACCCCCCCGGAGGCGTCGACGACGACGAGACGACCCAACTCGACATCGGCGAGTATTTTGCCCCAGTGCTTGTGGCTGTTCGCCACCCCCCCTGGAGACGCCGACGTCCACGTGATGAGGTGCCCCGCGTCAGTGACGGTTCGGGACGAGGGTATGAGTTCAGCTGGCACGAGTCCTATCGCGCGTGAGTTCAGCCAGGTGCGAGTTCAGCTGGTGCGAGTCAACGGCTGCAGCAGCAATCGCCCTCACTCATCACTCCTGTCCGCGCCCCTGGGAGGTCTGGGCGCCACCAGGTGCATGCCAGGCGCAGCAGCTGCGCCAGCAGCTCCCCGCACGGGGCGCTCCAGCTTCAGCAGCGTCCCCTGGACCCCATTTGGTGTAGCAGAAGCCACTCCTGAGACAAGGGTGTGGGTCCAGCTGGTGCGAATTCTGTCGGGTGTGAGTTCTGGCGGGTGCGTGCCTCCCGCTTTGCGGGGTGCGTCCCCTGAGAGCGTAGAGCAGTGGCGTTGCGGGGCCTTCTGGTCGCTCTTGGAGGCCTCGGGAGGCGTGTCTATACACGGTCAGCCGTGGTGGTCTGCCATGTTGGTCAGGATATCTCGGCGGGACCATTGGAGTTTCGCGTCGGTTCTCCGTTCCCTTCCGTCACAATGCAAACACACTGGGGCTGGCTCAAGGGGGGAATCGTCTTCTCCGATTTTGGCCCGATGGCCCGCCCCGCCCAAGAGCATGCCGATTTGCTGTCGTGGGCTTGTCGCCGATCAGTCGGCGATGTATCGCCCATTCCAGCTCGACGTTTCCCTCCTGAGACGCCCCCCCCCCGAACGTTCCCTTCAGGATCGGGGACTTGTACACATGACGCGGGCCGACTAGCACAAAGACGCGCACACATGTATGCAAGTAAAAACTTTTGCATTTTCGCATACACATGTGTATGTGCGCGTGCAGAGACCAAGCGCATCAAGCGTATTTGTTGACACAGTGCCACGCGCAGCATCTTACGACACGGACCCAGGTTGTATATGCACGCGAATATGGTATGGAAGCCATCAACCGCATTTGTTTTTCGTAGGGACCGCTCGAAGTTCTACCTTGCACCTATACGTACACTATAAACATACGATGCGTGAAAAAGTGGCTGGTTAGCATCAGCAGCTCATCAAAGCGCATTAAAACATTGGGCTTCGACGTGTGTTTCTCCAGAGTTGGGCTGTTTAGTCCCATCCACCCCTCCATGCTCTCGCTTTTCCTTGTCCCTGCTCCCTGATCCCTCCTCATTTTTTCTTCCCTCTTCTCGGCGGCGAGCGAGCGGGGGGACGTGCGAAGGAGAGGGCCTTCCCAGAAGGCGGCGGGACTCTTCAGAAACCCCCGCGCCTTCTGAGAAGATCTCCACGTCTTCGGGGAAGGAGTAGGCAACATCTCACAAGGCCAAAGCCTTCTGGGGAGGCCTTCTCCTTCCCACTCCCCCCCTGGGCTCGCCGCCGATCTTCGTTCGTCGCGTACCGTGCGTCCCTCGTCCTCTCGTCCTCTGTTCTCCTCTCCTCGTCTTCGCGCCACCCACCCAACCCAGCGGCCCGCTTGCGAGCACGCGCACAGCGAAAAGCCGCGCGTGGCATCGTAATCGTCAGCCTCGCTTTCTCCTTTTCCTCTCTCTTGGCATCGCTCGGACGTGTGCGTTTTTTTCTCGGCGAGGACCATCGAGGAGCATCATCGATCATCGAGAAATGCACAGGGAATTGACGTCCGAGCGATGGCAAACCCTCCCCTCACGCCCCTCCTCGCCTTTCACCGCCAACCGGAAGAGATGGGGAGACGGACTGGAGGGGGGGAGGTGGGGAGACGGACCGGAGGGGGGAGGTGACGTGACGGAGAGGGGCACAAGTACAGATGTTAATGTTTACGATGCCCCTATGGTGCCTCCAGCAGAGCTCGCTGCTTTGCCACGTGCGTGGAGCATGTGCGGCCCTCGATGACGTCTGTGTGCGCTTTTGTATTGCATCACATGTTTTAGAGTTCTATTGCATTTCACGCGTGTGGCCCTGTATTTCCGCACACGTTTGGTCGCTACCCGGGCGGCTCCGTGCTGACCAAATTCTGTCGCGCTCAGTGTTGCCGGAAGGTATTCTTTCCGCGGGATCGATCTCGACAAGCTGCTTGACCTGAGCAACCAGGACCAACATTTCTTCCCTCCTGCTCCCTCATCCTGTCCTCCTTCCTGCCTCTCTCCTCCATCCCTGCTTCCCCCCCTTACCTACCTCCTCCCCCCTCCCTCTTCCCTCCTCCTCTCCGCTTCCTGCCATCCCTCCTCCCCCCCCCCTCGCTCCTCCCTCCCCCGATATTAAGAGAGAGGCACCCCGCCGCTGCGCGCACGGGCCCTTCACTCTCCCTTTCTCCTTTCCTGCCGTGTGTTCCTCTTGCTCCGGTCCTCCTGCCTCCATTCCCTCTGTCCCCGCCCCCTCCTTCTCTGCCTCTCCCTCCTTCCCTCGTCCTTCCCTCCTTCCTCCTCCCTCCCTCCTACCCCTCTCCGCTACTCTCCTCTGCGTCCCTCCCTCTTCTCTTCTATCTTCCCATTCTCCTCCTCCCTTCCACTTCGGACAGGCTTTTGACCAGCTGCCTTTGCGTCATCCCTTGGCAGGTAATGGAAGGTTCGATTGAAGCCATAGGAAGTGGTGGATCGATGCGAAGGTCGTCCAGATGAAGTGAGAATAGTTGTTCCTCAGCCAGACCTGCCCTGGCAGTCCCGAACCAACATTAGGAGTGAGCCTTAAGTAAAGTGTCTGGTTGTTTGTCTTACTCCCTTCGTTTGTGTGTGTATTGTTGCACAGTTGGTTGCATCCCAGCACCATCGTCGACAGCCTGGCACCTGTGCAGTGCTGATATGGCTGGTAGTATCGATGGTGTTTGGTCTTCCCAACTTGCTGAGAGTCGCTGGGACTTGTTTTCACTTGCATTCCGCGCGCACCTGATCACATCCTAACACATCTTCTTCTTCTCCTCTCGCCTCCACACCACTTCCTTGCCACCGTGCATCGTCTCCGCCATCACCACCACGATCACCATCACCACCAACATCTTCATTGCCATCATAACCCTTATCCTGATCATCATCCTCATCATCACCATCATCCTCATCATCATCACTCATCACCATCATCATCATCATCAGCATCATCATCATCATCATCACCACCACCACCACATCACCGTCACATCATCATCACCACCACCAGCATCTTCATCATGATCATTATTATCGTCATCATCATCATCACCGTCAGCATCATCAGCATCTTCCGAGCGAGTGCAATCCAACCGAGGCGCCATCGCATTGCTGGAGCTGGTTTGGCGTCTTGTGGTGTCAAGTGGCAGGGCAGGCCGATCTGGTGCCGGCCTAAAACAAAAGCATCATCGTCTTCTCCTCTATCGGGCACACCTCACGCGCTCCGTGCACAGTCACAGGCCCAAGCTGCGCCCCCAGTGGGCATGGACACACATGTAGTGGAGACCCATGCCAAGAACCACCCTGCTTGCCCTCGGGGTGGCCTGAGTTTCTTGGGTTTCGCTGGTTTTGCCATGCAAAGCGTGACGTTCCCGCTCCAGGAATCGATGGACGTGCTGGGGTCTCAGGGCTGGGTCTCTTGTGGAGGGCTCCTCGTGGTCGAGCTCCTACTGTGCACACTGTAATCGGCTCGTTTCGGCGCCCCGCTCGCACGACGCGTGCCCTACAGGGGACCCCAACCCGTCGAGGCCCCAGGCAAGCACGAATATGTCCGCCGCGGCGGGGCCGCCCTTCGGGGGAGCACCGCCCGCGCGTCCTCTCGCGCCCCCCCACGCGAGGAGCCTCGCCCTGCGGCCCTCGAATACGGTGCGAGAGGGGATCAAAGCGAATTTCTGTGCATGCTTTGGCCATATTGTCGCAGGCCTAGAGATTGACACCAACACCAATATCGGCGGTGTGCCTCCACCGAGATAAGAAGATCCCGATCTTGGTGATGGTGGTAATATTCTGGCTTCCAGGGTGGCCGAACTATTACCACTGACACCGAAATCTAGGATCATCTTCCCGTGCGGAGGCAACCCCTTGTGTTGGTGTTGGTGCCAATTTCCAGGCCTCCAATACTGTGCATGGCGGCGCCGCCACGGTATCACACCCGTAGCAGGGGGTGGGGACGTATGGTGAGCGTCTCCCAGCTGCGCGCTTGCCCGCGCCCTGCACACGCTGCAGAACAACAACATGCTTGAGACAGGCGTCTGCGGACGGTGCTGCTGACTATCGTCTGCGGACGGTGGGCGGACCTTCGAAGCGAGGGCAGCTCGGCGCGCTGCCGAGCCAGAAACGGCTTGAGCGCACGCTGCTCGCTCCTGAGATCTCCGACCCTTTGAACCCTAAGTTCTAAGCTGCCGCACCGAACTGCCAAGTGGCCCTCAGCGAAGAGCGCCGCGCCGCGCCGCACACGCTCCCCCGGAGGGCTCGTGCCCCCCGCGGGGGGCCACGGCGGCGGGCCCCCCCCGGCGCGCACGCCGCTCGCTCGCCTGGCGCTGGTGGGGTCGCACGAGCGCCCGGCGCGCAGGCAGGCCCGCCGACGAGCTTGGGCCCAATACGCGCATCTCTCCGTGGGCATCCTGGCTCGCCCTCCCGCGCCCGCCCTTCCTTCGGACCGATTCGGAGGTTCATGGGCCGCTCAAGGGTGCGAGTGTTTCCTTTGCGTAAAGGCTCGTCCTTTCTGCACGGATGACGTTCGAATCTTACTGTCGGCGCGCTAAGAGTTGAGCAGTGCAGATGCTCTCAGAATGTCCGCCGAGGAAAAAAAAAAAAAAACGCGCAGGTCGAAGCCATGTCATCCTCATCGAAGGGCAGACGATGAGAAGGCGAAAACCCACCGCCCCACCTCCAGTCCCGACGCCCACCCCCCGAGCCCGCGATCCGGGGGGCCGGGGCTGGGGGTGGGGGCGGGTGTTTTTTCTTCCTGGACCCCGGAAACCCACCCCCACCGCCAGTCCCGACCCCCTGGATCGAGGGTTCGGAAATGGGGTGGGGATGGGGGTGGGTTTTCGCCTTCTCAGTCGAAGGCTGTCAAAATCGAGCGGGCGGTAACGGGGATTTGCCTGCATGGGTGGTGAAGACAAGGGCCCCTAAGGGCCTCTTTGGGGCCCTCGTATTCGCCCCCGTGCAGGTCACCCCCCACTTCGCCACCCGCCCGACAAAAGAGGCGCCGACCGCGGTCCCTGGCGCACGGACGAGGGCTGAACTCCACCGTGCCGCCCTGCTGCGCCGATCACACCCTTGGAGCCCCGGCTGCGGCCCTGGCCTGGTACGGGCGCATCCTCGGTGCCCGACCGCTCTCGCGTCCCGCGCTCCACGGGTGCGAGGCGTGGATCTATCCATGCAGTCAACCCGCATTGTCAGGATGGGCAGCGTTCCCAAGGGTACCACTGCATCCTCGCCTCCTCGGCCCATCTTTGGCCACTCTCGCTGGCCGCGCCCGCTCGAAAAGCTTCTTAATGGGCGTCCAAGGCCCTCTGCATCATTGTCGCCCATCCTTACTATACGGGTTGACTGTAATCACCGCATTAGGGATCGATACTGGCGGTGGATGTGGTTAATCCAGCTGCCTACCGCAAGTCCCGTCACCGTGCCTGGGTTGTGGGTTATGAGCTTCCTGTATGTGTGTTGGGATATCGTGGGAGGCCTCTCTGGGGCCTCTTTGAGGTCTCTTGGGGGCCGTTTTGGGGCATCTTGTGACCTCTCTTGGACCCCTTGGGGGCTCTCTTGGGGGCCTCTTGGGGGCTCTCTTGGGGGCCTCTTGGGGCCTCTCCAGCGCCTCTTGGGGCCTCATCGGGCCCTCTTGGGGCAGAGGGCTCGGATTATCGGTTCGAGTTCCTTCTTTTGGGCCCTTTTTGGGGGCCGTCTCGGGACCTTCTTCGGCTGTCTCGGGCGCCTCTTGGGCCGCCTGGGGGCGCTCTTCGGCCGTGTTGGGGCCCTCTTGGGCGCCTCGTGGGCCGTTTTGGGCTGGTCTTGGGGGCCTCATGTGCCGTCGTGGAGCGTCGGAATACCGAAAAGGCGAGAACGCCAGAATCAACAGAAACCTACCGACAATTTAGAATTGGGGAGGCCTTGCATATGCCGCCGACCATGAACGAAGACGACGGGGACGACTACAACGA